GATTTTCTGACAACTGCATACTTGAAAAGTTGTCATATTACAGAATGGCCAAACTATTTACAGATGGCATCATTAGTCGAAACCACAGATATCACTGTCAAAGCATCTATTTCGTGACACTTATTACTTGTTCCTTGATCAAAAATCTGTTTAATTAAAGTAAAAGATGGAATCCAGCCATGATCACTGCTTTTGATGATGCCTTTGTCTTTCAATTTTTGAAGTACTTCAACTGCTTGGTGAAGTTGATAATTACTATGTTGCTTTAATACATCAGAAACCAGCTTAAAACAAAAGCATGGAGTTGAGATGTTAATTAGTTGTGGACTTTCAAGTCATCAGGAAATTTTCCTGCCACAATATTATGTCCATAAATTTTAATATGTAAGTTGTAATATTTGCATAATAATTGCATAATTTTTGTATGCTTATTTGCATAATATTACAGGCCCACTGTAAACTTACATAAATAGTGTAATGATTACATAAATCTGCGTCAGAAAAATTTCCTGATGAATCCAACCTGCTTCATTGAACAGTTCATAATTTACTACACTCCATTCTAACATTATGGACAAGTGCTGTGCATGTTGGGAGTCTTCCTCCACATGATGGTTTTGTAAATTAAAAAGTAACTTGGAATATGTCTCCAATAATGGGTGTTTAGAAAAGTCTATAATTATTTTTTTGGTTCCATCATGTTCTTCATCTTTATGTATGCATTTTCCTAAACTCGAGGATAAATTATCAATATTAATTATATCATCTGGATTGTTAATTATATTGTCACATCCATCAGATGATTCATCCAGACTGTTAAGATTTATTTCAACTATAGCAGAGGTTCTAAGAGATGTACCATGTATTTAAGTTAAACAGGTTATTTTTGAAACAAAATTTTTTAACAACTAGAGTGGCAATAACCACCATTCTTACAATAAACAACTGTTCTTGTTGGTTTCGTTTTTGCCAAGGCATTTTGTTTTTTAAAAGAAAGAAAGAATTTGGTTGATCACAAATGAGCATAATGGACATTCGTTTTATCATTTGTGACAAAATCGATTGTTGATCTTTTTTATATTGTGAAACAGGCGATTTCAATTGAATTTAGAATAGAAATAGTCTCGTGACTGCGCACAAAAACTATTTTATGAAACACATCTTTTTTTTACATTTAATAAAAAACGATCAAATTGATCAAATTGATTTCAATATGTTATATTAGAATGAAAGTTTAAGGTTTCCGTGATCTATTTATGCCAGAATTGCAACCTTTATTATTATTATTTATTTTATTTTTAATAAATCATTATTATACTGCAGGTAAAGACTTATTTTATATTCTCATTATACTTTAAAAAAAGAAATATTTTATTTTTATATATTTATTTGATTTACTTATATATTCAAATTTTTCTAACATGGGATGAGTAGGTTATATCATATTTTTTCACAATGAGATAATATTTAAAAGAAGAGAAAAAATTAAAGATCGTTTAATATATAAAAAATGAAAAGAGTTTTTTAAACAATAACAATTACTTGAATTGGCATCATGATTTTATGGGGAGATAATATAAAGTAATGTAAACATGTTTAAAAAATTTATTCATAGAAGATTTTATTGAAAGTACCAAATTAACAACAAAAAGAAAACAAGATATTGATCAAAGCTGTTGTTGTCTGTAATTTATCTTTTCAACTTGTAGAAAACCCATATTTTATTGAATTCATAAAGCAGCTGAGAACAGCATACAAGCCTCCTTCCAGAAAAATGCTTTCTGATCATTTAATTAATGAAGAATTGGGAAGAATCACTGTTAAAATGAATAAGCTTTTAGAAAACAGTTAAATTAATTTTTATTTATTCATTTTTGTTTATTAAATTAATTTTTATGGAACTTTGTGATCCTTACCTCTGATCATAAAGAACATCTATATAAAATTAAGGATTTATCATCATTTAGTCACACTGGCAAGTACCTTTGTGAACAAATTAAAATAAATTTGTAGCCATTGTGTCTGATGGTGGAACAAATGTTAAAAAAGCAAGGGAAATGATTCATGATAATTTTCCATTCATACTGAATATTTGATTGCTTGAACCTGATCACAAAAGATATTGTGGCACATAATTTCCCAAAAAAAATAATTAACTATTGCAAGCCCAAAGGAGCTTCAATTGGATAAAGATTGATAATTCCATCATAAACATATCTTATAAAACAACTTACTATAGAAAGAAGGTAAACAAATTATTGTTATTAATTGCTTGTTGGGCAAATCAACTATTAAATATTAAAAACTTACTTTAAAACAATTCTAAATGTTTTTGGAGAACTATTTTTCCATTCAAAGAAAATAATTCCATTGCCAGATTTTCTAATTAAATTATTTAATAAAGGAGCATTGAAATAAGGTGATCTTGTGGATAATGTGCTCTATAAATTTTAATATCATAGTTTATTCCAACTGTGATTTGCATAAGAATCAGATTCTCTTAAAAGTCCTACAAGATCATTATAAATTTTCATTCTTATCATATCCTATAATCATTTTCTTTCTCTTCTTCTCCCTTCTTCTTCTAAAGATGCTACTAATAATCAACTTCTAAATAGGGAGCCATCTAAGAAAATGAGTCAATTTATTTTTGTCATTTTTGAGATAATAATGCAGTTATATATGGCTTGAGGTGGCGAATCTTTTCAGCTTAGAAATATCCTCCTCATTTTTGCTTTAATAAAATTTTGTGTGCCAAAAAATTGTCTCATTTTCTCAATGACCCCAAAAATTTTAGAACGGTTCGTGTAACAACCACTAGATTGGTTCTTTGACTATTATATAAAGTGCCAAATTCATCCAAACAAGCATTTATCTCTATTGGTTCTTATGCTAACAATATTCTTATCAAAAATATTAGGTAAAAAAAAATGAACTGGTTTAGAAACCAAATTGCAAAAATTAAAATTCACAATCATTATATATCCCAATTCAATGCTTATGAATAATATCATCTTTAAGCAAGAGCATAAATGTATGCCGATTTGTCTTGGACTCAAACTCATTGAAAGCTGTAATGAACCTTTTAATGATGAATTATATAATTCACACTAGGAGAATTTATATGATGCTCTTCGTATTCAGTCTATCTACAACAATCATCAGCATAAAGAACCAATTTATCCAAAATGGTTTATCATCAATATAATTGCAATTTAACAAGAAAAGTCCTTGCACATCACTACTCATTGTAAGCAAAAGGTGCAAATTAAACAATAGTGTATTCAATCTTTTCCTCTCACTTTACAATTTCTAGCAAAGAAAATATCCTTGTGAGACAATAAAATTAAAGCCATGTGAATGTTTTGGTCAACCACAGTGTACATTAGATATAATAATAAAGAGTTCAAAAGTTGTCAATTAAGTTGATGGCTTCGATACATGTAATTAAAACCTCAACATGATTATTGAAACAAAAACATTGATGAATTTGTTTGTAAATATTATAAATTTTGATAATTATCCAGAGAATAGCTACAAATTCTTTTTCATCACAAAATCAGTAGTAACATTACTGTTGATTTATTGATACATTATATTATGAGAGTTTATTATTTCTATAGTTTTTTTATGTTATAGTTTTAAATAATTGTTATTTTGGAAAATGTTGAAGTTACAAATGAAAGTTCATCATCATCCAGAATTCCATCTTACTAATTAATCCCCAAAGACCAATTTTTTTAATAATAATATATTTTTATTTTTTTGATGTTTTTTTTTTACAAAAGAAAAATTGTAAAGAGAATAAAAAATTCATATAATAATAATATAAATTATATATATATGTATGTATATTAAATATATGTGATAACTATATGACAGAAAGAATTTATTTTTTACAAAATTGCACATTATTTCACTAATTAAATAATGGAAGAAGAAGTAAAAAGAAAAAAAAGTTTTATTTTAAAAAGTTTCAAGTCTTTACAAAAATTTTTTTATTGAAGAAGATGGAGAAAGTGGAAAAAGGAGGGAAAGTTAAAGATGATGGAAATGAATCAGTTACTTTGTCACCATCATTTTAACAAATTCTTCATAATTAATTTGTCCATCACCATCAACATCTGCTTCACGAATCTAAATAAATAAAAATTTAAATTAATTATAAATATTTTCACCCACATCTATTCATTATATGCAAATCACAATAATAATTACCATTTCATCGACTTCTTGTTCAGTAAGTTTCTCTCCAAGATTAGTCATAACATGTCTTAGTTCAGCAGCAGAAATAAAACCATTACCATCTTTATCAAAAACTTTAAAAGCTTCTTTTATCTCTTGTTCAGAATCAGAATCCTTCATTTTCCTGGCCATCATTGTCAAGAATTCTGGAAAGTCAATTGTCCCGTTACCATCAGCATCAACTTCATTGATCATGTCTCGTAATTCTGACTCTGTTGGATTTTGACCAAGTGATCTCATTACTGTACCAAGTTCTTTGGTGGTGATGGTACCATCACTGTCTTTATCAAACAAAGAAAATGCTTCTTTAAATTCTGTGATTTGTGCTTCGCTTAATTGGTCAGCCTAGAATAATTTTGTGGGAATGGATTATTGAGAATTTGTGAATGAATTTGTGGATTAATGTAAACATGTTTGTGCATTGATAATAATTGTAAAATGTTTAAATTCTAATAAAATTCAAGACTACATATAATTTATATTTCTAAAAGTCTCGCATTAAATACACATCAAAGTAAATTTAAGTAGAGCACAATCTATATTTACTCTACTCTTCTTTCTCTTAATTCATTATCATTATTATGTATAAAGATTTAAAAACTTACCATTTGCAAATATTATTATAACAAATTTCAACAATTAAAAAAATAAAACTAGTAATATCGTGATGGTGTGATCTAAAAAAAGAGGATTAATGGATGTTGATCTTCTTTATCGATTTAAAATAATAAAATGGTAAGTTGTGTATTGAAATAAAATTTTTGTGTGTCGTAAATTTTCGGCTAACACAGTTACAGTAAACTTAAAATTAAAAATTCAATATATGCAAGATCATCATGTTGTGCGCTTAAATTTATAAATGGAATGAAACACGGTAGATCATAAATTTGAAGTTGTTAATAATAAATAAATCAGGCAATGAGAATCGTTTTTTTATTTTCTAAATATAGTAATAGTATGGTAAGTAATAATCGATTTTATTTTTATATATGTAACTAGTTATTGATTTATTATAAACAATCAAATACAGATTATTCTATTCTCAGAATTACGAGGTAATGATTCTCCAGATAGACAAGAATTTAAATAGGAAAAATAAGAAGCAAAAGTTACACGCCAACTTTTCGTATTAATGATTATATTATATATATTTTTAAATTATGCACAAAAAAAACATGATCAAATTTTCCCGTTTTTTGCTCAATTTGGTAAATAATGGCGGTAAATTAACATTAATAATAATAATCCGTGTTGTTTCTGATTAAAGTGTGTAGAATAAAGTTTTTACATGATTAAAGCTAGCCAAATTTGGTTGGTCGTATCTTCATTTAATTTGATTTCTCGCATGTGTATGCTAATTGTAAATCTACTTTATTGTTGAAGATGGATATTCAAGTTATTATTATAAATAATATTGCCAAATGACAACAATAGACATAATATTTTATTTTATTACCTGCAAATTTTTTTATCATTGTCAAAAATATCATTGATTCTTTCACAATCAGATTGATAAAAATCACCACAAAAACCAATGAAACAGTCTCTGATGAGGTGGTATTTCGGCTAAATGAATTAAAATTCAACTTTTAGAATTCATGGATCATCTAATATTTATTACATGATGTATATTCGTTTTGGATCCTTTTTCTTCTGATGTTAAAATTAAAGTAAGTTTTATACAAATGGTCAATCAGATTTTTGATTAATGATAATTAATTATTTCTTCCCTTTCTCTCTCATATTATCTATTTATTAGTTGATAGTTCACCATAGTGCTGTAGTGATCCAAAGAGGCCAGAACAATCATTGCCATTAGCAATCATTTTCTACCACAAAGTTGTTAAAATAGATTATGATAATAATAATGTTGATATGTTCAAAATTTTTAGTATATATATAATGCCTTTTTAAAAGAACATGAGGGAGGATAGAAAAACATTGTGAAGATCTCTGTGGTATATCAAAAAGATTTAATTTAGTGACAGATTACATATGCAAAGTGTCCCATTTCATGTTTCTGGATGATTGTGTATCAGTAAGAAGCTGTTATTGAATGTGGAAGCAATCAGGTAGATCTTTTAAATGCAATAAATTCATCATAATCATCAGATGTCTTTGGCATTATCTTCTTCTTTGTCAACTTCCTCTACTCAAACGCATTGATATTATTCTCACCTGTTCATCAACAGCAATAACAGAAACATTAGGAAGAAGAAGTGGTGAGCATAATGGCTTTATCAAGAAGATTTGTTGAATGGCTAATAATGGTTTATTTATTTACTTCTTTCTCGAAAATTTGTACTATTTATCCGTAATTCTGAACATTCAGGAAAACTGATTGAATATGTAATTCTAATTAGAAAAGGAATACGAGATTCAATGTATAAATATTTCTAACAAATTATGAAAAACTATTCGCTAGTACACTAATTATCCATCTGATTAAATATATTATTAATTATTCCTTCACTCAACGAATAATTGTTCATATTACAACACTAATTGGAACGTAAAATTTTTTTTATTTGCCAATTATATGTAATGATTCCACGTTGAACCAATTCTTAATATAAACGTTCTGGTCTTGGGGCAATTCTTGTTAATATTAATTAACTGTTGAATTCTAATTTATTAATGTAAAAATTTTTGAATTATTTATTTACAAATAAATTTTGACATGATGAAAACTCTATTGTGATCATCTTGACGATAGTTATTGCTAACAGAATTATTTCTTCTATTGTTACTACCGTGACTAAATCATTATCACTTGTATTTTTAAGCTTGGTTTCAAAAGCAATTTTCAACCAATCATCTTCATCATTTTGATTATTTAAACCCCATCTAGCCTTGTTGAGGATTCGGTATAAATGAGGTTACTGATGAAATCGGTCACTTGTATTTTTAAGCTCAGAATCAAAAGTGATTTTCAACCAATTATTTACATCTTTTTGATCATTTGAGCCCCAACAATTATCGTTGAGATCCAATAGGAATAGAAATACTGACGACATTATTATATTTTAAGCTTAGATTCAAAGTAATCTCACTTTCACCGTTTGGATTATTTGAATCCCAAATATTATTATTTAGATTCGTTGAAGATTCGCTTGTATTTTTAAGCTCAGAATCAAAAGCAATCTTTGACCAATTATCTTCATCTTTTTGATCATTGAGCACCAATCGTTATCATTTAGACTTGTTGGAGATCAAATAGGAATAGAGATACTGACGACATTATTATCATCAATTATATTTTTAAGCTCGGATTCAAAAGTAATCTCACTTTCACCGCTTGGATTATTTGAATCACAAATATTATTATTTAGACTTGTTGAAGATTCGCTTGTATTTTTAAGCTCGGATTCAAAAGTCTTCAACCAATTATCTTAATTTAAACCCCAAATGTTATTATTTAAACCAATAGGAATAGAAATACTGACGACATTACTATATTTTTAAGCTTAGATTCAAAGTAATCTCACTTTCACCGTTTGGATTATTTGAATCCCAAATATTATTATTTAGACTTGTTGAAGATTCGCTTATATTTTTAAGCTCAGAATCAAAAGCAATCTTCAACCAATTATCTTCATCTTTTTGATCATTGAGCACCAATCGTTATCATTTAGACTTGTTGGAGATCAAATAGGAATAGAGATACTGACGACATTATTCATCAATTATATTTTTAAACTCGGATTCAAAAGTAATCTCACTTTCACCATTTGGATTATTTGATCCCAAATATTACTATTTAGACTTGCTGAAGATTCGCTTGTATTTTTAAGCTCGGATTCAAAAGCAATCTTCAACCAATTATCTTTATTATTATCCTTTTGATAATTTGAGCCCTGAACGTTATTATCTAAACTTGTTGGAGATCAAATAGGAATAGAGATACTGACGACATTATTATCATCAATTATATTTTTAAGCTCGGATTCAAAAGTAATCTCACTTTCACCATTTGGATTATTTGAATCCTAAATATTGTTATTTAGACTTGTTGAAGATTTGCTTGTATTTTTAAGCTCGGATTCAAAAGTCTCCAACCAATTAACTTTATTATTATCCTTTTGATAATTTGAGCCTGAACGTTATTATCTAAACTTTTTAGAGATTAAAGATACTGATGACATTGGTATCATTATTGTGTCTTTCCTGAAGGATGACTAGCTGGTTTGAGAAATGACATATACAATGCACAAGATTGCGATCAATACTTGAGCAATTTGAATTTTTCTTCGAATTCTTGGATGTTTTTTAAAGATAATGATTCGATTGCTTGAAATATGTCAGTGTTGATTACTGAAAACAATGATGATGGTGACGATTCAATTACTGAAGAGTTGTCATTGACATTGCCCTTGTTCTCATTGGATAAGCATTCCTTTTTGTTCGAACAAAAATCAATATTTGACCAATTTAAATTTTTCTTTAAGTGCAATGATTCGAATGCTTCGATATTTTTTAACGACAATGATTCAATCGTTTGATGCATGTCAGTGTCAATTGCTGACAACAATGATGATGATGATGCTTCAAATGCATCAGACGATGATGGTAATGGTTCAACCGCTTTGAGTTTTTTCGATGATGATTTGAGTGGTTGAATATTTTCGGTGTCGTCAAATGATAATGCTTCAAGTTTTTTGGTTACTTGAAGCATTTCAGCGTCGATCGCTGATAAAATTGATGATAGTGACAACAATTCTTTATCGTGTTGTTTAATTGTAGTAACACTATCAGTAATTATTTTAGGATCAAATTGTGCATCTTCCATCATTATCAAAATATTTTCTAGATTTGGTTCATCGTCAACTTCAGATTCGTCATTTGAGCTAACATTATAATTTGATTCGTCATCTGCATCATAATTTGATTCGTCATTTGCATCATAATTTGATTCACCATCCGAGCCAGCATCACAATTTGATTCGTCATCTGCATCATAATTTGATTCACCATCCGAGCTAGCATCACAATTTGATTCGTCACCTGAGCTAACATCACAATTTGATTTGACATCTGCATCATGATTTGATTTGATATCGGAGCTAATATCACAATTTGATTTGATAGCTGAGTTAACATCACAATTTGATTTGATATCTGAGCTAACATTACAATTCGGTCTCTCAATGATAAAAGCAAAAAGAGTATTGAGAGTGTTGATTTCAGACAAAGATGGAAATTCTTCATCAACTCGTGGGTACAGCCACTCCATTAAAATATTTACCAAATAATCAAGAAGAATGACAAGATTAACTGTTGTGAACATAACAGTTGCGATGTCGATTTCAAACATTTTTTTTTTGTAAGAGATGTAAAAATGGGTTTGTTTATTTTAAAAAAGTTTTCTTATAGAGAAAAGTTTTCGATGAAAAGTTTTTAAGAAAGTTTTTTTAAGTTTTATGAGAGGTTTTCACGAGAGGTTTTTATAAGAAAAAATTCATGGGAGTTTTTTGTTTTTTGGGAGAAAAAAAAGATGTGTTTATCAATTATATTGATCAATTATCAGGCAATTGGTATTGAAAGAAATTTGATATATTAGGTTAAAATAAAACCATGGGAATAAAAAACAAACACGTAAAATCTTAGATACAGTGACATTTGCAACCAACTTAATGTAATAATTGACGATAATTTACTTCATAAATAAGGGATTATTGATCAATTATCAAGTTTGATGATAATTTTAACCAATATATTAGGTTATAACAGTTATAACAATAACAAATATGTGACTAATCTATAAAGGATTTTCTCACATTTTCCTCAATTATAATATGTTCATTGTTCCTTCATCGTACAATGACAATTATTACTGTTTTTATACAACAATTGAAGAAAAATATACACAAGAGTAAAACTACCCGTCCATTATTTTAAGAGTTTGATTTATTTTGATCTTTTCCTTAATCAATATCACTTTACATATTTCTGAATGAAATATTTTGTAGTTTTCTACTAGATAAAAATGCTTGATATTTTCACGGGTTTATAATGTCATTATACAAAAATAAGGAATATCAATTAGCCAGTAATTTCGTCACATCTCTTCAAGTATGACAAGTCAATGATATTTTTTTTTCTCACATTTATAAAATACAAGTTTATAATTTTTTTATTTGTTACACAATTCCAAATTGCATACACTGATTATCAGTTACTCCAATGAATTTCATCGATTTCAATTATTTAGAACTATTGTAATTATTACTTTTAATATACCTAATATATATTTTTATTTAAATTAAATAAATAAATAAATTAATTCTAAAAAAGGATATTGTTGGTATTGATATTTTTGGTTGGATCACAATATTTAATATATGACTCCAACTAAAATAGTTAACTAAATAGTCGACTGATTAGTCAACTAAAGAAATCTTGACCAATTAGTAGTCGATTAAGAATAATTTCAACCCCTAGGTTCAATCATTTAGTTCTCCTATCCCAGTAATTCTTGGTGATGTAATCTCTTATTCTAATTTAATACTTATTATTAAGATGTTCCATTTAAAAGGATAATTTCATGTTCAATTTAACATGAATGAATGGTTTTAAATTCTTTCTTTTGAATTGATACTTCGGGGTAATTAAGTTCAATGCATTGATCAGGTAACGTAAACTTGTAATACTTGTAATATGTACTACTAACACTTAATATAAGGAAGAGTTGTTTTTTTGACAAAAAAACTTCATCATATCATTATATAAGAGTTTATATTAAAAATCATTATATCAAGCTGAACTTATATATAATGTTGCATCATGCTAATACTTATTTCTGTGTTGACCTTTTCCAACTTTCCTCATGTGAAACTTGTGGTCTATAAAATCAATTCATCAATCTTTTTTATTAATAAATTTCTATCATAGTTGGCTCAGTCTAAAAAACTTCCTAAAATTTACAGGAGTCTTTGGACTGACCTAATTATATTATTAACATTAAAAATCTGCAATAAAAATATTATAATCAACGGACTTTTAAACCTTATTTTTTCTTTGAGCTCACTAATTGGGATTCTATGTATTTCGAAGATTGAAAACTATCATGGTTTATGAATAGCTTTTAATGTCTTTTAAACTAATATAAAACTCTACAAAGATTTGTTGAAAAATAACTTAATTGTTTAATAAATTATGCATTTTATAATTTAAGTTTTATTACAATAAAAAAATTTTTGTTTTTTTTTTAAAGTTGGTTTTTAAATGATTTGGCAAAGGATGATGTTAATGTAGTAGTAAACATTTCTGAAATTTAGAAAAAGGAAAATATATATTAATTGAACTATCTTTCTCTGATAAATTGATTACCAATCAAATTTGGTCGACTCCAACCCTGGCCAATCATATCCAAATCATATATACAATTTCTTAAATAGGAATAAACACAGGTCTTGCTCCTATGGTGCCAATCATCTAAACACATCAAATGCTGCGCCAACTGGTGAAATTTTTCTGAAAATCTTTCCTTTTATGGAACTAATTTTTAATTTCTTTTTTTTTTTGTTAAAATGCTTAAACAGAATAAAAGAAATCAACATTTACGAAAAGCTCGTGAAACTAAAAAATGAAAGAAACCATTAAACCCATTACAGATGAATATATTGGTAAGGAAGTGTTTGAAAATGAATATCAGATTGACACAAACATTTTGAATGAATTAGATGTAAATGAACCTGGATTAGAAATCAAAGAATTGATCTATCAATACATTGAATCTGATGATGACTGGAGAGATTTATCTTTAACTATAGAATTAGGATCTTGGGAAGGTTTACAACAAACTGTGTCATTGGCTCTTAATCCTATTTCTCTCTGTAAAATTCATAAATTTGCAAGAAGATGTTATAGGTTATGAGTGCCTATAAGATGGGGCTTTCTGGTAAAGCTGCTATTTTTGCAGTTAAAAAGTATCACTCTCATAGAAGAGTTCCCGAATCTGTTTTAGTGAAATTTCACAAGTCACAACTATCACGTGACACTTCTTTACATTGTGAAAATATTCTTTAAATAGAGTAATGATCAGTGGTGAAATTTTTTTTTTAATAGTAAAAATGACAAACTTTAAACCATCATAACTCTCTTCATTTTAATAAAATTTAAAAAAACTCTCTATTGCATCTTTCCTTATGTCTTATAGAATAAGACTATAGAGAGTTTTTTTTTTTATCTTGGATGGTCATTGAGCTTATAAATTTTAAAGTCTAGCCAAAATTTTTGATGACTTTAGATGATTGGCACCACATTCCATTGACACGGCTCTCTGGAACATGGGAAGTGGATGTATCTGTAGGAAATAATTCTGATTATAATTTATACGAATATGGAGTTTGTACCAGTCATTTTAATTTTGATATTAGCAAACTTCATAATTCTACAAAAAAAAGAAGCATCAGTGAAAGTAAAATTCATAAAAAAAATGCATTATTTGTAATAAAATTAAATGTTTTTTCAGTAGAGGTAATAATTGTATTCAACATTCTTGGAGTATTGTTGGAAGAAATGTACAAGTTCCATATCTTGGCCTAAAATCCTGTCCAGCATTCACTGAAATCCACAATATTGCTTCCAATACCTCAAATGAACAACAAGTACATAATATTTGCACAGAATGTTTTGTGGCTTGTGGTGGACATTTACACATACGTGATGGATCAGGAAACAAATCCAGATTGTGTACTGAGAATGGAATGCATAAAGATGATGCAGCTTTGACATTGGATT